TCCGGCCTGTAACTTCTGACCTCTTCCCCTTCCTGCTCCTCTTCTCCTCCCCTCCCTCCCCTCCCTCCCTCCCTCCCTCCCTCCCTCCCTCCCTCCCTCCCTCCCTCCCTCCCTCCCTCCCTCCCTCCCTGCCTGCCTCCCCTGCCAAGGTCGTCCGCCTGTCCTACCGCCACGTGGTGGAGGCGTCCCTCTACCCCCGCTTCACCCTCCTGCCAATCGCTTTGAACCTTCTTTCCTCCTTCCTCCCCCCACACCCGCCGCCCCATAAAAGGTCGTCCGCCTGTCCTACCGCCACCTGGTGGAGGCGTCCCTCTACCCCCGCTTCACCCTCCTCGGCCAATCGCTGGGATCCATGGCCCTCGCACTAGAGGCCGTTCTTCGCCGCCCGCCGTCTGTTTTTGTTGATACTGCTGGATACGCGTTCTCTTATCCTATAGTGAAGCTGCTACTAGGGGGACGAGCAGGGGGGGGAGGGGGGGCAGGTGGAGTAGGGGGAGGGGGGGCGGAAGGGGGAGGAGGGGGAGGGGGAGGGTGTTTGGTGGTGTGTTACACGCACTACCCGACTATAAGCGGGGACATGCTGCAGAGGGTGCAGCAGCGCACTGCCATGTACAACAACGATGATACTGTGGCCAGCAGGTGGGCCTCACAAGGGGAAGAGGAGGGACGATAAGTGGGGGGGACATGCTACAGAGAGTGCCGCTGCGCACAGCCATGTACAACATTGATGATAGGGTGGCCAGCAGCAGGTGAGGCTTGAGGTTCAAAGATGGAGATGGGGGGGGGAATGGAGGGTGTTTGGTGGTGTGTTGCCCGTCATGCACTTTCCGGCGATTAGCGTGGGCATGCTGCAGAGGGTGCAGCAGCGCACAGCCATGTACAACAACGATGATACAGTGGCCAGCAGGTGAGGCTAGAGGGAGGAGAGGGGGAATGACTGGGGGTGGCGATAAGTGGGGACAAGCTACAGAGGGTGCAGCAGCGATGATGACAACAACGATGACCCTGTGGTTGGCAGGTGCGTGCAAGGGGAAGCGGGAAAGGGGATAGGGGGAGGAGGAGGAAGTGGGAATATGCTACAGAGGGTGCAGAAACGCACTGCCGTGGATAACCATGACGGCTTGTTTAGTTTTGAGGCGCCTCAAAACTAAATATGCTACAGAGGGTGCAGAAACGCACTGCTGTGTATAACCATGACGGCATGGTGGCTTTTGAGTCGACTCAAAAGTGTTGTGTGACATTGTAACGAGGTGACTTTTGAGTCGACTCAAAAGTGACAACGCACTGCCGTGTATATAACCATGATGGCATGGTGGCAGGCAAACAAGTGAGTGAGCATTGAGGTTGGAGGTTGTGCAGGGAGGCATGCCGACCCTGTGACAGACAGTGACCTCCTCCCCATTTTTGAGTCGACTCAAAAGGGCCACGTGGGCCTCATTCACGCTGCATCCCCATCGTGCTCCCTTCCCTCCTCCAAGTCCTTGTAACGAGGTGCCTTTTGAGTCGACTCAAAAGTCACCTCGTTACAATGTCACACGACACTCACGCTGCATCCCCATCGTGCTCCCTTATCTCCTCCTCCAAGTCCGGGGGCATGTGGGCACTGTCATGGTTTTGAGGCGCCTGTCCGCGTTCCTTCCCCTACAGGTGGGCGGGCGGACATGCATGCAGACACTGTGTCTAGTTTCCCTCCGCATTCCTATCCTCTCTGTTCACCTCAGCTCTCTCCTCTCCTCGTCCAAGCTCTACTACTACCGCCTCTTCGCGTTCCTCTATGGGTGGGCGGGCGGGCATGCGGACACTGTCATGGTCAACTCCTCATGGACCGAGGGCCACATTCGACGAATCTGGACGCGAAACAGGCCGAGCACTGTTCACCGGGTGTACCCCCCCTGCGACACCGCTGCTCTCCAGGTGGGTAACCTGCTTTCTCAGGTGCTTTTCCAGGTGCCTTTTCAGCTGCCTTTTCAGGTAGTGCCCAGGTCCAGGCACATTCAGTGAATCTGGACAAGCAACAAGCTTTGCACTGTTCACAAGGTGGACCACTTCCCCCCCCCCCCCTCCACTCCACCCCTCACTGCTGATACTGCTTCTCTCCAGGCGGGTACTTTGCCCCCCTCCAGCTACTAGATACTCTTTTAGAGTACTAAGTACTCTCTAGGCGAATCCCCCCTCTACACTCTGCCTGTTGTGTGCTGCCTTGCCTTCTCCCCCCTGCTCTCCCCACTGCTCTCCCCCCTGCTCTCCCGCCTGCTCTCCCCCCGTGCTCTCCCCCCTGCTCTTCCCCCTGCTCTCCCCCCTGCTCTCCCCCGTGCTCTCCCCCGTGCTCTCCCCCGTGCTCTCCCCCGTGCTCTCCCCCGTGCTCTCCCCCGTGCTCTCCCCCGTGCTCTCCCCCGTGCTCTTCCCCGTGCTCTCCCCCGTGCTCTCAAAAGTGCTCTCCCCCGTGCTCTCCCCCGTGCTCTCCCGGGTGCTCTCCCCCGTGCTCTCCCCCATGCTCTCCCCCGTGCTCTCCCCCGTGCTCTCCCCCGTGCTCTCTCCCGTGCCTCCCCCGCTCTCCCCCCTGCTCCCTCCCCTGCCTCCCCCTTCTGCGCAGGCCCTCTCTCTCTCTCGCCCGGAGCCAGGACACATCATTTCTTTCGCTTGATGCGTGTGCTCTCAAGGCATGGGTTAACCATGCTGGAAAATGCTTTGCGAGGCAGCGGTTCTGCGCGTGTGCTCAAGGCATGGTCTCCCTCCGCTCCGTCAAACCGTCCTCCCGCCATGCTTGTGCCTTGCTGCCTTTTCTCCCCTGCCTCCTCCCCCTTGTGCCCAGGCCCTCCCGCTCTCTCGCCCGGAGCCAGGCTACGTCGTTTCGGTGGCGCAGTTCAGACCAGAAAAGGTACTGCTTTTGAGAATTTCGAGTCGATTTTTTAGTCGACTCAAAAATTGAGTATGCAAAGTGTTGTGAGGCGCCCCATAATCTGCAATGCTGACTCCGCAAAGAGATGAGGGAACACCACTTATGTGCCATGGCTTTTCTCTAAGCATCTGCAATGCTGACTTCGCAAAGAGATTCTGCAGATGCCGCCTACCTTTTAGCGTACAAGAGGATGCTCTGAGTGCGCCAGGGGATGCTCTGAGTGCGCCAGGGATGCTCTGAGTGCGCCAGGGATGCTCTGAGTGCGCCAGGGATGCTCTGAGTGCGCCAGGGATGCTCTGAGTGCACCAAGGATGCTATGAGTGCGCCAGGGATGCTCTGAGTGCGCCAGGGATGCTCTGAGTGCGCCAGGGATGCTCTGAGTGCGCCAGGGATGCTCTGAGTGCGCCAGGGATGCTCTGAGTGCGCCAGGGATGCTCTGAGTGCGCCAGGGATGCTCTGAGTGCGCCAGGGATGCTCTGAGTGCGCCAGGGGGTGCTCTGAGTGCGCCAGGGGATGCTCTGAGTGCACCAAGGATGCTCTGAGTGCGCCAGGGATGCTCTGAGTGCGCCAGGGATGCTCTGAGTGCGCCAGGGATGCTCTGAGTGCGCCAGGGATGCTCTGAGTGCGCCAGGGGATGCTCTGAGTGCGCCAGGGATGCTCTGAGTGCGCCAGGGATGCTCTGAGTGCGCCAGGGATGCTCTGAGTGCGCCAGGGATGCTCTGAGTGCGCCAGGGATGCTCTGAGTGCGCCAGGGATGCTCTGAGTGCGCCAGGGATGCTCTGAGTGCGCCAGGGATGCTCTGAGTGCGCCAGGGATGCTCTGAGTGCGCCAGGGATGCTCTGAGTGCGCCAGGGATGCTCTGAGTGCGCCAGGGGATGCTCTGAGTGCGCCAGGGATGCTCTGAGTGCGCCAGGGATGCTCTGAGTGCGCCAGGGATGCTCTGAGTGCGCCAGGGATGCTCTGAGTGCGCCAGGGATGCTCTGAGTGCGCCAGGGATGCTCTGAGTGCGCCAGGGATGCTCTGAGTGCGCCAGGGATGCTCTGAGTGCGCCAGGGATGCTCTGAGTGCGCCAGGGATGCTCTGAGTGCGCCAGGGATGCTCTGAGTGCGCCAGGGATGCTCTGAGTGCGCCAGGGGATGCTCTGAGTGCGCCAGGGATGCTCTGAGTGCGCCAGGGATGCTCTGAGTGCGCCAGGGATGCTCTGAGTGCGCCAGGGATGCTCTGAGTGCGCCAGGGATGCTCTGAGTGCGCCAGGGATGCTCTGAGTGCGCCAGGGATGCTCTGAGTGCGCCAGGGATGCTCTGAGTGCGCCAGGGATGCTCTGAGTGCGCCAGGGATGCTCTGAGTGCGCCAGGGATGCTCTGAGTGCGCCAGGGATGCTCTGAGTGCGCCAGGGATGCTCTGAGTGCGCCAGGGATGCTCTGAGTGCGCCAGGGATGCTCTGAGTGCGCCAGGGATGCTCTGAGTGCGCCAGGGATGCTCTGAGTGCGCCAGGGATGCTCTGAGTGCGCCAGGGATGCTCTGAGTGCGCCAGGGATGCTCTGAGTGCGCCAGGGATGCTCTGAGTGCGCCAGGGGATGCTCTGAGTGCGCCAGGGATGCTCTGAGTGCGCCAGGGATGCTCTGAGTGCGCCAGGGATGCTCTGAGTGCGCCAGGGATGCTCTGAGTGCGCCAGGGATGCTCTGAGTGCGCCAGGGATGCTCTGAGTGCACCAAGGATGCTCTGAGTGCGCCAGGGGATGCTCTGAGTGCACCAGGGATGCTCTGAGTGCACCAAGGATGCTCTGAGTGCGCCAGGGATGCTCTGAGTGCGCCAGGGATGCTCTGAGTGCGCCAGGGATGCTCTGAGTGCGCCAGGGATGCTCTGAGTGCGCCAGGGATGCTCTGAGTGCGCCAGGGATGCTCTGAGTGCGCCAGGGATGCTCTGAGTGCACCAAGGATGCTCTGAGTGCACCAAGGATGCTCTGAGTGCGCCAGGGATGCTCTGAGTGCGCCAGGGATGCTCTGAGTGCGCCAGGGATGCTCTGAGTGCACCAGGGATGCTCTGAGTGCGCCAGGGATGCTCTGAGTGCGCCAGGGGATGCTCTGAGTGCACCAGGGATGCTCTGAGTGCACCAAGGATGCTCTGAGTGCGCCAGGGATGCTCTGAGTGCACCAAGGATGCTCTGAGTGCGCCAGGGATGCTCTGAGTGCGCCAGGGATGCTCTGAGTGCGCCAGGGATGCTCTGAGTGCGCCAGGGATGCTCTGAGTGCGCCAGGGATGCTCTGAGTGCGCCAAGGGATGCTCTGAGTGCGCCAGGGGATGCTGTACCGTACACAAGGAAATGGTGCGCGGGATGCTCTGAGTAATGCTGTAGGGCACCTTGTGATAAACGCTAAGATACAATGTGGGCACATTTTCTTCTCCATTCTTCAGAAACAGGGGGGAAAAGAATCACCGCATTCTCTTCTCCATTCTTCAGAAACAGGGGGGAAAAGAATCATCGCACTTTCTTCTCCATTCTTCAGAAACAGGGGGGATAAGAATCACCGCATTTCCTTCTCCATTCTTCAGAAACAGGGGGGAAAAGAATCACCGCATTTTCTTCTCCATTCCTCAGAAACAGGGGGGAAAAGAATCACCGCATTTTCTTCTCCATTCTTCAGAAACAGGGGGGAAAAGAATCACCGCATTTTCTTCTCCATTATTCAGAAACAGGGGGGAAAAGAATCACCGCATTTCCTTCTCCATTCTCCTCCCCCTTCCCCCTCCCCACACCACCCCTCCTCCCCTCCCCCTCCCCCTCCTTCCCCCCCTTCATCTCTCTCAGAACCACGCTTCGCAGCTTCGAGCCTTTGCCCACAGCGCCATCCGATCCCGATCCAACGTGACGCGATTTGACTCGTCGATGCACTCTCCCCCTCCCTCCCTTCTCTCCTCCCCACACCACTCCTCTCCCTTCTCAGAACCACGCTTTGCAGCTTCGAGCCTTCGCACAGGCCATAAAGCCCACAGCGCTGTCCGATCCCGATCCAACGGCTGGCGCTCCATCTGAGCCCGATCCGATGGCTGGCGTGCGTCTGAAGCTGGTGGGCAGCAGTCGGCACCGGGAGGACGAGAGGCGGATCGAGCTGCTTGGGTGCCTGGCGGTGTCGCTTGGGATTGAAAGGCGGGTGGACTTTGCTGTCAACATTCCTTTCAGGTGAGGGTTAGGGAGAGGCAAGGGGGCTCCAATGGGTGCAGTGCGGTTGAAGCTGGTGGGCACCAGCCGGCACCGGGAAGACAAGAGGCGCTTCGACCTGCTTGGGTTGCCTGGCGGTGTCGGTTGGGGTGGAGAGACGGGCAGATTTTTTAGTCATCATCCCCTTCAGGTCGGCGAGAAAACAAGTTCTGTAGGTAATAGGCGCATATCTCTGGTAGTGCCTTGTACCCATCCCCTTTATTGCATGCCAGGGAGCTTTTGAGTGGACTTAAAGCCTGGCCTGGGCTTAAATCTCTGGTACCGCCCTGTACCCATCCCGTTTATTGTATGCCAGAGCTATGTTGGCATAAACGCGTTTCCGCGTTTTTGCGTTTCGTTCTGAACGCTTGCGTTCAGGACGCAAAACGCAGAATTCCAGGCTTCAAATACGCTCGAAAAACGCCTGCCCGGGCAGGCGGGAAATTTGGCCTGGGCAGGGGACGCCATGCTAGGGGCTCGAAGTCGGGTAGCTTAGGTGCTGGAAGGAAGAACGTAAGAGTACTAGATCGTTAGTGCATGTCAGGTGAGCGAATTTCTCCTCTACAGATAGATCTGGATCAAGCGGGGGGGGGATAGGTTGGGATTTTCAACACGTTGGGAAAAGGAAGGGAGGGATTGATGAGTTATCGTGTCGCTATGAAAAGTTTCGCGACTGCACGACGACGAATTTGCGACGCGCGAAACGTGTTGGCGTTTCGCGGCGCGCGGCGAAATGTGTTTTCGATTCGCGACTTTGTGGGTTTTTTTTGCGTTTTTTTGTTCCGGGCAGCCCAAAAAATTCCAAGGTGCGTTCGAGCGTTTTGATGCGTTTTTGCGTATTGCGTTTAAACGATTGCGTTTAAACGATTGCGTTTAAACGCAAAACGCAAACTCACAAAAGCGTTTTTGTCAACATAGTGCCAGAGAGCTACAGCAGCTGCAGGCGGTGCCATTTGTGGTCTTTGTTACAGCAGTACTTCCGTATCCTGCTTCCCCAGTGTTCCCATCCTCGTTACTGCATCTTTTCTATCCTCGTTATTGCATCTTTTATATCCTCGTTATTGCATCTTTTATATCCTCGTTATTGCATCTTTTCTATCCTCGTTATTGCATCATTTCTATCCTCGTTATTGCATGGCAGGGACCTACAGCAGCTATTAGGCAGCGCCACCTGTGGGTTGCACACAATGTGGGATGAGCACTTCGGCATCAGCGTTGTGGAGTACATGGCAGCAGGGGCTATCCCCATAGGTGGGTGTGATGGGTGTGTGTATGGTTGTAAGGGTGTGTGCCCCTACCTGTGGCCTTCACACCATGTGGGACGAGCACTTCGGCATCAGTGTTGTGGAGTACATGGCAGCAGGGGCTATCCCCATAGGTGGGTGCGTGTGGTTGCTGTTACCATGTAACCCCTAGGAAACGTGCTGCCTGTGGTTGCTGTTACCATGTAACCCCTAGGAAACGTGCTGCCTGTGGTTGCTGTTACCATGTAACCCCTAGGAAACGTGCTGCCTGTGGTTGCTGTTACCATGTAACCCCTAGGAAATGTGCTGCCTGTGGTTGCTGTTACCATGTAACCCCTAGGAAAGGTGCTGCCTGTGGTTGCTGTTACCATGTAACCCCTAGGAAACGTGCTGCCTGTGGTTGCTGTTACCATGTAACCCCTAGGAAACGTGCTGCCTGTGGTTGCTGTTACCATGTAACCCCTAGGAAACGTGCTGCCTGTGGTTGCTGTTACCATGTAACCCCTAGGAAAGGTGCTGCCTGTGGTTGCTGTTACCATGTAACCCCTAGGAAACGTGCTGCCTGTGGTTGCTGTTACCATGTAACCCCTAGGAAACGTGCTGCCTGTGGTTGCTGTTACCATGTAACCCCTAGGAAAGGTGCTGCCTGTGGTTGCTGTTACCATGTAACCCCTAGGAAACGTGCTGCCTGTGGTTGCTGTTACCATGTAACCCCTAGGAAAGGTGCTGCCTGTGGTTGCTGTTACCATGTAACCCCTAGGAAACGTGCTGCCTGTGGTTGCTGTTACCATGTAACCCCTAGGAAACGTGCTGCCTGTGGTTGCTGTTACCATGTAACCCCTAGGAAACGTGCTGCCTGTGGTTGCTGTTACCATGTAACCCCTAGGAAAGGTGCTGCCTGTGGTTGCTGTTACCATGTAACCCCTAGGAAACGTGCTGCCTGTGGTTGCTGTTACCATGTAACCCCTAGGAAAGGTGCTGCCTGTGGTTGCTGTTACCATGTAACCCCTAGGAAACGTGCTGCCTGTGGTTGCTGTTACAATGTAACCCCTAGGAAAGGTGCTGCCTGTGGTTGCTGTTACCATGTAACCCCTAGGAAACGTGCTGCCTGTGGTTGCTGTTACCATGTAACCCCTAGGAAACGTGCTGCCTGTGGTTGCTGTTACCATGTAACCCCTAGGAAACGTGCTGCCTGTGGTTGCTGTTACCATGTAACCCCTAGGAAACGTGCTGCCTGTGGTTGCTGTTACCATGTAACCCCTAGGAAACGTGCTGCCTGTGGTTGCTGTTACCATGTAACCCCTAGGAAACGTGCTGCCTGTGGTTGCTGTTACCATGTAACCCCTAGGAAACGTGCTGCCTGTGGTTGCTGTTACCATGTAACCCCTAGGAAACGTGCTGCCTGTGGTTGCTGTTACCATGTAACCCCTAGGAAACGTGCTGCCTGTGGTTGCTGTTACCATGTAACCCCTAGGAAAGGTGCTGCCTGTGGTTGCTGTTACCATGTAACCCCTAGGAAACGTGCTGCCTGTGGTCTGCTGCACGCACCACATGGGATGATGAGTGCTATGGTCACAGGTAACAGGTACCACTGGGGAAGGTGCCACCTGTGGTTCGCCTGCCCACCATGTGGGAGGATGATGAGCACCTTGGCATCAGTGTGGTTGAGTACACGGCAGCAGGGGCAGCAGGGGCTGTGCCCATAGGTGGGTACCTGTGAATGCTGTTGCCATCCACCCCTAGGGAAGGTGCCACCATGTGGGAGGATGATGAGCACCTTGGCATCAGCATGGTTGGATACACGGCATCAGCAGGGGCTGTCCTGGGGCTGCATCACCCACCCTATAGGTGGGTGCAGTGTGTGTGTGTGTGTGGTAGTGGCTGTTCCCACAGGTGGGTGCAGTGTGTGTGTGGTAGTACCATGTGGGTTGGGCACTTTGGGTATGGTACCAAACTGGCCCTACTAGTGTTGCCTGCCTGCCATGCCATGGTATGGATGCAAGGCTAGAACCTCAAACTCCCTCTCTCCCCGTTTTCTTTCAGTCTCATTCTTGGTTTCCTCAGCCCACAATCCTGCTTGCCCTTAAATAGGTGTATTTTGAGTCGACTCAAAATACTCCTCAGCCCACAATCCTGCTTGCCCTTAAACAGGTGTATTTTGAGTCGACTCAAAATACTCCTCAGCCCACAATCCTGCTTGCCCTTAAACAGGTGTATTTTGAGTCGACTCAAAATACTCCTCAGCCCACAATCCTGCTTGCCCTTAAACAGGTGTATTTTGAGTCGAATCAAAATACTCCTCAGCCCACAATCCTGCTTGCCCTTAAACAGGTGTATTTTGAGTCGAATCAAAATACTCCTCAGCCCACAATCCTGCTTGCCCTTAAACAGGTGTATTTTGAGTCGACTCAAAATACTCCTCAGCCCACAATCCTGCTTGCCCTTAAACAGGTGTATTTTGAGTCGACTCAAAATACTCCTCAGCCCACAATCCTGCTTGCCCTTAAACAGGTGTATTTTGAGTCGACTCAAAATACTCCTCAGCCCACAATCCTGCTTGCCCTTAAACAGGTGTATTTTGAGTCGACTCAAAATACTCCTCAGCCCACAATCCTGCTTGCCCTTAAATAGGTGTATTTTGAGTCGAATCAAAATACTCCTCAGCCCACAATCCTGCTTGCCCTTAAATAGGTGTATTTTGAGTCGAGTCAAAATACTCCTCAGCCCACAATCCTGCTTGCCCTTAAATAGGTGTATTTTGAGTTGACTCAAAATACTCCTCAGCCCACAATCCTGCTTGCCCTGAAATGGAAATCGTCGTGCAAGAAGGGTAGACCCTCAACGGTCAACCCTCAACCCTCAACCCGCCTCTACCACTTCCCTTCCTTCCGTTTCTTTGTCCTTCCAGCCCACGATTCAGCCAGCCCCAAGCTGGACATGGTTGTGCCCGCCTGCCCTGCCCTAGAGGGAAGGCTAGACCCTCAACCCCCCCCCTCCATGCTCCCGTTTTCCCGTACCTTTGATCTCCCTGTGCCTTCTTCCAGCCCACGATTCAGCCGGCCCCAAGCTGGACATTGTTGTGCCCGCCTGCCCTGCCCTGGAGGGAGGTTCAGCGGGCAAAATGGGGCAAGCGGAGGAGGGGGGAGAGGAGAAAGAGGAGGGAGTGGGAGAGGGAGAGGTAGAGGGATTAGAAGGAGAGGATAGTGGGGGGAAGCATGAGGGTGGTAACCAAGTGTCAGAACAATCGGAGCCGTTGATTTCAAAGGGCGAGATAGAAGCAGATCCGTCTGCTAGCCCTGTAGGGTTTCTGGCGACGACTGAGGACGAATACGCTGCTGCCATGCGGGCGGTTTTTGCCATGTCAGCGGAGGAGAGGGAGCGGATGGCGACAGCTGGCAGGGAGAGGGCCAAGAGATTCTCTGAGGAGAATTTCGAGAAGGGTTTCAAGGATGTGTTACGTCCAATGATTGGATGTTCTTAAGCAATGTCTGCCAAATAGAGCTTGTACATTACCGGATTATATTGAAGCCATTCATAGCTTGCGAGAATAAGGTCTACAAAGCGATCCTGTCTGTAGTGGTACCATGATGAATAACGCGACACTTAAAGCCCGCGTCTAGAATGGTGAAAACCCATGTTTACTGACCATGAAAACAGTGCCAAAAACACTGGACGAAATCAATTTCGGCAAAGCTCCTCTAGCGAAAAATACTTCTCAGCGAATAAAAGGGTCGCTCGCGACACAAAAGGAACCCAACAGCTTGTAATCAACAGTGCGCAAACAGTGACGAATTCGGGGGTGGGGGGCAAAACTGTACAAAGCTTTTCCCGCCCAGCGAGTCTCGGCAAAAAATGTGTCTAGAGTGGTACAGTACCGGGCGTTGTCAACTTCAGTATGAGCACAGCCAGCGGTGCAGTAGAATAGCGTCAACCTCCAGCATTGCTCAGTGGTGCTCGCCATCTTCTCAGAGTTTCGCGAGGCTCGGAGTACTTATGATTGGAAGTAAGTAACTGATCATGGCGACCTCGCAAGGCTCGGGGTTCCTCTATCGAACGCTCGGTACCGTCATCGGAACGAGTGCGTTGCGCGATCCGTTACTGAATGATCCGTTACTGTCGACGCTCGCTACGAGTTCCTCCCTGCCTGTTGATTCTGAGCGTGCGATTGCCGCCCTAGTTGCTGAGCTGGCAGCGAGAGATTCGTCGGTGGACTCACCGTCAGCCACGCGTCCCTCTGTCCCCGTTACTAGCGCGCCTGGTAGGGCTATAGATGAGGATAATGACGAGGATAGCGACAGTGACGGGGAGATGGAAGAGGGTCTTATGATTCGCCTGGTCCATATAGATGTGGTAACCACACCTTTGGCGAAGAAACCGGAAGTCGATGAAACTAAACCCGATGAATTTCAGACCGACGATGTAGAAGACAAAGCTCGATCGGACGGCGGACAGGCTACCCGGCGGGAAGGAGATCTGGACCGTCCGATAGACTCGCTGGCAGGCTCGAGAGGAGCCGTTAGATCAAGGCTCCCGGACGGCGGTGATGTATTGGAAGACGATGAGGGATCGAGGAGAAAGTCAGTGACCAAGGATGGCAAGAAGAGGAAAGCGGAAGCTGAAGGGGAGGGGGAAGGGGAAGGGGAACGGGTGGGGGAAGCACACGCGGAAGTGGGGGATGCGGGGGAAACTAGTGGTGGGAAATTTGCCCGTATTGGATCAGTGGCGGAACCTTCAGCGCCAGTGGCGGAAGCTAGGGGCGGAAAGTTTGCGCCAGTGGCGGACCCTGCAGCGCCATGGAGCGTGGGGCATCCGGAGGGGCATCCGCGCAGCCCGTTTCTGCGCCTGCATCAAGGCAAGCCTCGTTTCGCCCTACAGCCGACGTTAAACCCTGAATTAGCTAACTTACCAACCAGCCCCTTCCTGCGCCTGCACCCAGGCAAGCCGCGCATAATCCCCCACCTGCAGCAAGGCAACCCTCAATAGACCCTCTCTACCCACCTTAAAACCCTGAACCCGCGCTCTTATCCATGCAGCGTCACACAGCATGTGCCATGGGTCATCCAGAGGGGCGTCCGCGCAGCCCCTTCCTGCGCCTGCACCAAGGCAAACGCCGATAGACTGTGTTACCAACCCTTAAACCCTCAACCCGCGACCTTATCTGTGCACCAATGCAAGCCGTCTGAACATCTCTGCTAGCCATAAAGCCCTAAAGCCCAAACATTTGTGCTGTCATTTGCTTGAATACCCTAACCCAAGCTGTGGTAGTGAGAAATCCTTAAAGCCCAAACAGCTGTGCTAGTCAGAGAGCTCTAAAGCCCCAACAGCTGTGCTGTCATGTGCTTGAATTCCCTAACCCAAGCGGAGCTCTTTCCTCCACCTGCACTGCACCAAGGTAAGGCACGCGAACCGGAAGTGGCCCAACTGCCATGCTAGTTATAAACGCAAACGAAACCACGCAGCCCCTTCCTTCCTCCACCTGCACTGCACCAAGGTAAGGTGTGTGCCAACCGTAAGTGGATAAACTGCCATGCTAGTTATAAACCCGAACGAAGCCGTGCAGCCCCTTCCTCTGCCTGGGCCAAGCCGTTCTCCCATAAGCTGCTGCGTTAGCTGCAAAACCCCAAACCTGCTACAACTGCACCAACTGCAAAAGCAGCAACACACACATACACTCACACACACATGCACACACACACGCACGCACGCACGCACGCACACACATGTGCACACACACACGCACGCACGCGCGCATGCACACACAGCTTTCGAAAGAGCCTGTGTCGACTCGGGCTCGTGCACACACTTGCATCATAAACCTGAACCTTTCAACTGATAACACATGGAGTTACACTGCGTTTTGAGGCGCCTCAAAACTCAACGGATAACACATGGAGTTACACTGCGTTTTTGTTCACCCCAAAGCTAGTTGAGTCCTGTCGGTTTGTGGAGGCATCAGAGACAGCAGTTATCCAGAGCAACTGGTTCTAATCCTTCGCTCAACTTTTGAGGCGCCTCAAAAGTTATCCAGAGCAACTGGTTCTGATCCTTCGCTCAACTGTCAGCACACAGTCAGTCACTTCGCTCCGTCTCAACTGGCCCCCTCGTAAACCCCCTCCCCCCCCCCTCGCAAACCCCCTCTTATACCCCAGAAATTGTGGAGTTCTGCCGGTTTGTGGAGGCCTCAGAGCAGGAGAAGCAGACAAGGGGGGAGGCAGTGGGACGGGTGACAGCTGTCATCCGGAGCATCTGGCCGCACTGCCAGGTGGAGGTCTTTGGATCGTACGCCACGGGCGTGTACCTCCCCACCAGCGACGTGGATGTGAGTGTGACCTGATATACCTGCTTTAGAGGCACATTCACTTCAAATGCAGTGGGGCGGGTGACAGATGTCATCCGGAGCATCTCGCCGCACTGCCAGGTGGAGGTCTTTGGGTCATTCGTGCATACGCCACGGGCTTGCACCTCCCCACCAGCAACGTGGATGTGAGTGTGTGAGTAGGAGGATTGAAGTGAGTGTGGCTGCCACCACCATCCAGCCCAGCCATGAGAGCCGGGGCAGGGCACATGGCTGGGCACATGGCAGGGCAATCATCGCGTGCCTGGGGCAATCACCGGGGCAACCTGGTGTCTGGGCTGTCTGGCAACAGGTGGAGGTGTTTGGGTCGTATGCCACGGGCGTGTACCTCCCCACCAGCGACATGGATGTGAGTCGTGTACCCATGCTTGTTCTTTAGGCAGCTTGAATGCCGCACGCGGCACTGCCCTGCCAGCCTGCCAGGTGGGCGTCTTTGTTTGGACCGTACGCCACCACGGGGGCATGTATCCACGTCAGTGGGTCACGCTGCTGCTCTGTAAATGGAGTTGAGTTATTCTACAACTGACTAAAGAATGGAGTTGAGTTATTGTTTACAAACTTTCTAAGGAATCATTCTCCACTCTACAACTGTCGGGAGTCCAGACATGCACAGAGAGCACTGAGAGCACAGAGAGCACTGAGAGCACAGAGAGCACTGAGAGCACTCTGGAGACGTCCTTCTACCTGAATCCTTTACCCCTTCACACCGCCCCTCACCCATTCGTCCTCCCCTCCTCTTCAGATGGTTGTGCTGCACTCCGGCTGTGCGGAGATACAG